ACTTTGTTACTTAATTTCCCTGGATAGGCTCAAATTTATAATACTTCATTATCCAGAAATACGATCTACAGATAGTGACGAAACAAGGTCACGGTATGTACAAGCATGGGTCAGTCCTGCATACAATTTACGGTGCGTTACTCAGCGTAATTGAATTCCACGATAACTGCTACGCGCCATTAGATGAAATGGGACCAGTTATACTTTATTACTTATACATTTAATAAACAAAAACCAAGAACGTTTTAAGTAGCTTTTTCTATGTGACTGTTTAATAATGCCATTCGGAGTTTTATGTCACAAAGTCTTGAATTAGTCTAAATGAGCATGCCTGCTGCCCTGATAAAATCAACAGTGTCAGAATAATCTGAACTAAATAGTGCAAAATCTTTGAGGCCTAACACAAATGAAGCCGTACCTTTTGCACGCATCCAAACGACTGTTAGTTGACTCGCGTCTCGTTCCAGTTAGGGCACGGAATGGGCCGTTTTTGAATGCTTTTTGATTAAAAAGGTATGTGCTTGGCGGAAACTTAAGTGCAAAATATTTTTAGCTATTGTCCTCATTTAACCATAATCACTCGTCTTCTGCACGAATCAGTCAACGCGCGTCTTGAGCTTGATTAAAATATTTTAGTTGAAAAATGTCCAAGAAAGATAATTTTCCAAAAGCGATTTAGTGAAGACTTTTCCGGACTGAATATGTCCGTCTCATCTTGAGCGTGAAATCGAAATTCGCGGTCGATCACCACTGCCCGTAGGCGGAATTTAAAACAATAAACTAGCGAAGTAAGCTCTTCAGTAAAAAGGTAAACGCCAATTAAGCCCAAAAACATTTGCTCAGACTCGCGATAATTATTGGTCTGACAGGAAGTGGCGTCAGCTAGGCAAAATATCCTAGACACCGTTGTCGTTCGCAATCTCACTGTTTAAATAGAAAAGAAATAAAGTGCGCATAATCTGCTCTGCGACAAACACAAGAGATAGAAGGGATTTGCGAATCCTCATGAACGAGCCTTTGGAATCTCAGCCTGAAATGTCTCCTGACCTAAAGAGCATTGGAACGGGAACTTCGTCGACGGGAAAAAAGCAAATCGATCACAAGAAATAAATTTTAATTATCTAGCATTTCGCCGGCCGAAAATGGCGGTGCATATCTTACTGAGTGAAACCGATTTCTGTGAAAACCTGGTCCACCGTGCGCTTGCGGCACGCCTAGAGTCCGCCTCCGGTCGACCTAAATCTATCTTGCCACCGAGCCCATTTGAATGCGCCGGAGGAGAGAGTGCAGTGGTTGCTGCGGTCTTACTTCAAACAAATCTACGAAAGGATCACCGTCCGCGCTCTCACCTCGTTGTGAGCATACGGTCGAGCTGAAATTCGCGGAAACGATTGCCGACTTGCACATACAGATAAAGAAGTTGAGGCAACGTCTTAGCTCGCTAACAGTTAATACAGCCCTTGATCAAGCTGTCTCGAGAAACTTCCAAGCAGCAAGGGTTTACATATCATTCTCTACTGACCATATTTTACGCGGAGAAGGCAAGGATAGGCTGCCACCTCAGACCGCCTCGATGTGCATTTATCCTTTCACTTGCTCCTGTGGAGGAGGTTATATTGGTCGTACGAGACGGCGCCTTTCCAAAAGAATACGAAAGCACCTTCCCGCATGGTTGGCAAAAGGGGAAACTAGGAAAAATACCCAGCGCCATCCTTACACATGAAGTGGATTCAGGGCATCGTGTGGACCCCGCTGAAGCAGTTCATTTGTTTTATAAGGTTCCCTCCAGTTATCCTAAGATACTGGGCTGGCGCCTGTTAGCAACAGCAGAAGCAGCCGCGATCGGGCTACGAAAACCGACCCTGTGCGTCCTGAAGGACCTCGATCAGGCTCCGCGCTTACCGTGGTCAAATGTTGGCTGACCACATTCAATTTTTTGCGCCCTTCTGCTCTTGCCTAGCCTTTAATTTAAAAACCTAACTTTTATCGATTTTTTCACTCACTGTACCCTGCCCCATATAACTGTACTGGCCTGATGAGAAGTTATCGAAAGCAACGTTTTCTGGCTACCTTTTCTTCTGAATTTTAAAGTCTTTTTAACGAAAGCGGAATAGCTGGAGTTTTGCAATGATTTACGACGATCTAAGTCCAGCTGGAGATAATGCATACGTGCGCTATTAAATTAAGAATGATTTCTCCCTGCATCGTTTGTTTTTGTCGTGCAGAAACCTTCGCCCTGTAATATCCAAATGTTTACATAAAGTGTTGCTTCTTAGCACTATTCAGTCTGGTCTCCAGCGTTCTCAACCGTTTGCTGTCGGTTGGATGAGGATAGTCGTCAAACGAGACAAACTATTTAAATTTGACATTTTCTGTGATCTTCCGTCTACTTCAGAGAAGAGTACTTAGGCAAGTTCATATAGCTGAGAAAAGGCAATTAAACCTATCTCTAGCCCTCAAAGTTTATGTCGCAATTTGTCCATAAGCCCTTATGCCGTCCCACCTGGTGCGACCATAGTTTCCGGCGAAGTTGAGAATAGGCAGATTGGCATTACCGAAAAAGACAAGGGAGACTGCAATGGCCATTTCTGGCTTATTAGCCGTCGTCAGCCAGCCATACCCAAGCCCGAAGTGTGGAACACCCGAGCCTCGAACTCGCGACCTGTTGGTTTAGAAGTCAACGCCTCTACTCACCGGGCCACGAGCCCGTTGCCCTGTCGGTTTTCGATTGGGAATATACAATGTTAGGGGGCGCTCACCGATCGTCCATACGGAACTCACTCGTTCCGTTGTGCCTTAAGGGCACAAGTTGAGAATTCCGTGTTTTGCGCGATAGGGGCAGTTCCTTCACTAATTACTTATGCACGCAGATGTGCACGCACAGTGTTCAGCAGATCAACTATCTCCTGAGATTAATGCAAAATTCTGAAATGTGGATCAGTTTCGAAAACATAATTGCCCTCGATTTGGCGGAAAGATTGACCATTACATTTAAACGATGCCCAGGGGGAGACAATTCCATGCATTTTGAGCCATCCTTAAAGGGCGATCCCGAAAGTTCATGTTCCCGCGCCAGCTGGTAACTGCAATGGCAGAGGCGTTAACCGCACAACCAACCAACCCCGCGTTGTGCCAGCTGAAAACAATGGTTTACATCCACAAGTTACTCTGACCAAGGCTAAGCCCTACACGCTCGTGCCCGAATCCTGCAATATCACGTTAAAACGATGGACACTATGCCTTACTTACTGCCATGTCATCCTCCCTTTCTTTTTCCTTCCGTAGCCTAACAACACCAAACTGTGATTACCCTCGTTTCTGATGTTTCTAAATGCTCTCAGTCTTAGTAACCCCAAGAATTCTCTTTATTAGCTGTTTTCAGGTTTCTTGCCCTGCCGTCAGTGCCTATATTACTATACAGACAGGACACGTTTGTCGACCTTGATTTCTTTAATGCATATATAGTTATTGTCAAGGAACGTATTTTAATTACTTGATATATACAACAGGTTTGGACAATGCTTCCCACCATTGTCACAATCCACAACTCCGAAACGATCTTCAACTGCTTACGCTCTGATAAGATTTCCGGTAGACTCAAAAACAATAACTGAAGAAGTACAATAATCTTTTTGATATTTTCGACCTGAATGAACATCGCCATAGTTGTCCAGTAAAACCCAGCTATTATTTTCCATTGCCCATTATGCCATGGTTTGAGGTTTTGGTTAAAATGAAATTAACTATTCGTTGAATAGCAGATCCGCTGGGCATGTAAATGTGACCAAAGACTTCAGTGTTTTGCAGTCTTTTTGACCGAAGTAAAATCTACCATTCTTAAATTTTGCTTTTATTATCCACATCGAGGACCTAGCACTTCTGACAAAGCAAATTTCTTACAATCCTGTAGGCAACATTCTATTATGTGAGAACGACTAACTCTACAGACAGATTGTCCGCAAATTAGCCTTTCGTCAGGCTTTGTAGAATACGGTGAATAGTTGAATCACAGTATCCAAAATCTCCAAGTCTACTCGTTTGGTTTCCAGAAGAAGATAGCGAGGAATATATTTTTTATTTGCAATTTTCAACGTCTATTAAGTCGAGTCGCATAGTTCTTTGCGCGTCATTTTAAAATCTCGCATCAGCTACCCGCTGCACTTTGTCTGCCCGAACCAGTTTCTCCCAATTTCGTCCAATGAATTCGGGTTTTGTGAGACTTTATGACTGACGTTTGCCTTTGCGCAAAACTGATCTCAAAGATTACACCGACCTTTCTCCCCCACTGTCATCGTTCCCTCCATTTGGTAATATAACCAAACGTGTCGACGGCGCATGGGCAGAGGCAATCGCTTTATGATTACGCAGGAGATAAAAACACGTGTGTTTGCCAGAAAAATTCGCCAGTAAGCTTTCAAACGTCACTGACTCGCCCCTTCAATCCCAATGTTAGTGCAACCGGCCAATTTGTTTATGGGTCGTGCAATTCACAGATACAATTCGCACACAGAGTCGCCTCCGATGCCCGGCTTATGCAAATAATTTTAGATGCTCCGATGATAACACAGGCTCGACTTTCAGAAGTAGGCTTACTCAGAGCAAACCGTTATTTTGCTAACGACGAGAGTTTTTAATCTTGGGTTAGTATGTTGCAGTTCCGAAATGCATTTTGACGAAAACAGCCTGCTCTCCTACGCGTTCCGTCAGATGAAGACTTGTCGAGAATTCTCACCTTTTGAAGGGAGTGAAATTATGGGTTGCTGGCGGACATATGGTTAGATTACTCAAAAGAGCAAAAAGACGCTGAGTGTGAATAGTACCTGCTGCCATTTTTAAAACGTATTTAGTGCGTTATCAAGTTTTCACACACACACACAACTCGTCCTCAACACGTGTTTTCGTTTATATTGCCATAACGGTAACCCATTATCGGTGGGAGGGTGCTTGCGAGAAAACTGTCAACATCAACATTAGCTGATGAAAGTGAGGTAAGGATTGATCTAATCCTCGTCGTCAGCGCCCTCCTCACCCACCTCCTCACCCGCCTCCTCTGCGGCCCTCCGTTTGGCAGCCTTCTCTGCCTTGATGCGTGCTTTCTCCAGCTGGAGCCACTTCTTAAAGGCCAAATCCGCGCCCATATCTGTAATCTCTTCCAGTACGATGCCAACAACCTCCCCACGCATCCTCGAAGTCGCCTCCTCGGCCTTCTCGGCGGTGAGTTTGTTTACGCGTGCCCGCTCAATGGCTCGTAGCCTGGCCTCCTCTTCGGCCTGCACTCTGGCCGCCTATATGGGGACAAAAATGGCATATTTTTTCAAGCCGTTTACGCTGACCAAACGAATGCCAAAAGCCGTCTTCAAATAGTCTTACCACAAAACCAGTAAAATGCCGTTGGCAGTATGTGTGCGGGGGAGGCGCGGATGCACTGAAAGTCGCCGCGCAGGCTCGAAAGCAAAAATGACAAACGGGAGTTGGAAAAAAGGCGTGTATGTGTGAGGTGTGTGTGCGCCTGGTCAAGGACTTAGTCCATTAAGGCTTGCGCCTTATATTACGAGAATAGTGTTGGAAGGGCCTGGTTGTCTAGATCGCACTGCTAAGCAGGTGTGCCAGCAGCCCATACAACGAATATTAGATGTGGCTAACGGACTGCTCCCTACAGGTCAACTGCACAACCTCGCAGAGAATTAAAACCAAAATGTTGCTTGAGGTCGGGCCCAGAAGTCACAAATTTGCATGAAATGTCAGCCGAAATTCTGAAATGCGTTTTCAACTAGAGAGGATCACTTAGGTGGGATTGTAATAATGCTTATTATGTGAACCAATCCTCCAGTACTTCGAACTGGGGCAGGATGCTAGCTTTTGAAAGCACCGCCTTTTGACCTACCGTGAAAAGCGCACTCGGTGGAAAATGACTACTTTATTTGCATGCATTTTCTAATTGATTTTCTATGATCTTATATACTTAAATATATTTTATAGAAGGCATGTAAAAGACAAGCTTTCTTTCGTTGGTTTGTTTACATTTGAAGAAAGAATATATTATAGTTTTGAACGATACTTGGAATTCCCGAGTATTTTTGAGCTAGATCAGCCAATGCATTAGCGTTTGGCGATTTAAACCTGCAGGGTATATACTAACCACATAAGAAACATTATATATTTCCCAATATCTTTGGGAAGATGCTATGTAAACTTTACATAATTTTGCAATGGACGCGGACTTTGTCGTATTTTTTACGAGGTGCTTTAATAAATGGACAGGTGCGACGCTGCATGAGAGGATATTGCACGGTCCTAAAAATCTCATAACTGGAAACTTTTGAATTCAAAAAGCACTTTTACGTCGAGTACGAAAAGTAATGCCGACGCGATTTTCTGCCATATGGGTAAAGAAAGCATATATCTCTACATGTTTTCTGTTAAATATATTTGAATTTATAAGGCCATAGGTAATCATCGTGAAAACGCGTATTAATTGCGCTGGCATTATTTACTGCGTAAATTTTGTATATGAGGTTGTTAAAAAACTGCATTCAAAATCCAACATCACTGCCGAGTCCGAAATAATAAACGCCTAGTTCATATCATAAATAGTGTTACAACCACACCTTAGTAATCCTTTATAATGGAGGGCACATTTTAGAATTAAAGTTAACATATACTGAGATTGGTACTATCTGTGTACTGTTCAGAACGTAGCCTTCTAACTAAATTGAATTTTGCCCCAATAAATGTGTCACTTTTATCTGGAACCCTCGAATACATCACGTACGAACACGATTCTTGATTTTCTTTATTTTGTTTTAGGAAAAAAACATTTTTTGGTAAGTTCCGACTACCTAAGGAGCAGAGACCGACTTCTTTTGGGTAAATTAGATTATGTGCCCTCGTTTCAACGAGAGGTGTGGGACGTATCCACCAACGTAAGGACATATTCTAGTGAAAGCCAGACGGTCGGGATATCCGACGGACTTTAGTGAACAAATAACCCAAAAACGCCGTCGTTTTCAAAATAAGGAGAAACGACGAGCAGGTGAATCGGGCCAGATGGCAGCATTCCAGGATTCATAGACTGGTGGATAAATGGTCAGCTACTTATTTCTCAAATGCGGCTACCGTATTTGATACGTGAAATAACTTTGATAAGCCATAATTTTTTGTTCATTTAGACACAGCGCAGTAACCTGACCTTCATTTCACTGTTATCGTGAAAGACCTTGCTGATACTGTAAAGCCAGACAAAAAGTACTTTCAGAGGAGCTTATGGATCAAAAAGTAGTCTCGAGTTTTCAAAAAATATGAAATTCGAGCACCCGGCGGCATTACGAGCCCCCCACCTTCATCACCAGCGAATTTTTGGGCGTCGGCAACAAATCACAAAAAAGCAAGTTGTCAGTCTACAACATCACACCACACCCATCCGTTGAGTAGTCTTCTAAATGTGCACCAGAGAGCGCGATGATCTATTTTCAGTTTCCTCACCATTTAAACTGCTATAGTAGTTCGCTTCTGTTACCGTTTCCAGTCATTTTTCAAATCTTTAAGAGAAATGCATGTTTACTCATATCATAGACTTGTTTGAGAATTTTTGATTTCGTTTCATCTGGAGTGAGAACAGTTGGTTTTACTGTCTAGCGCATTGTGTCTTGCGAGTCGGCAAGTCTAGTCGTCTTGCAAGCAAAGGAAAATCCTAGCGTGATGTAAATATATAGCTTTTTGTTATAAATGTCGAAAACTGTACAAAGAATCAGTTTCACGTTACATTGAGCGCTTTGACGTCTTTGTCATGGATATGAGCTAACTATTACCATCGACTAGTTTTTTGGCCGCCAAATTAATCCACACCATTCAAAAAGCGCCAGTCGTTATCAATGATGTATTTTGGCTTTTAAGACTTCATCTAAACAATGTCATTTCACCAAAAGCATTTTTAAATGAAAGTGAAGGTCACTTCACCAGCCTATAAAGCACTCGTTTTAGAAGTTTGATGCTTCATATGAGCATACTGATATGGGGTCGAGATAAAGAAATCGAAGCTTGCAGTCATCAGTACTAAATTTGAAAACACACTGCTTCAGCTGGATTCGCACGTTAACCAATAGATTATTTTGCCGCATTGCGTGTGATAAAAGATAAAAACACTGCAATTAATACGCCCGTCTCAATTAAAGGCAAGCTGTCTATTCACGTTTCGCGTTTTTCTTAGAAATGATTCTGGAGGACAACGGATATTTAAACTATGTTACTGAGCGAAGGGGAATCCAAACAAACGAAAACAGAACCGTCAAAGGCAGTATAGGCTTGCATGAGCACCCACCGATCACAATTGTCTGTCGCTTCCGGTCTTCTAAAGTTGACAGGTCTGATCCCTTAAGCGTGCTTGGTGAATGAATCATAAGTAATAGATAGCATTTATGTGCCCAACCGCTCGCTGCCTAGCTTTCATTATTAATGACGAAAAACTACGTTCTCCTATCCCCACGTTAACTTTTTTATAAACATTTCGATCGCCATTATTCAAGGCAAATTCTTTTTAACAGAAATTTTCATCCGTGTGGACTAGACTTCTGGTCAGAGCACTACAACTAACTTCATTCCTTTTCATCCACCGGTCACCTTGTTCACCAGAATGCAACCGTAGAGTTCGTCAGACCTTCATGTTCCCCGGAGGAGGTTGCATACTACTTAACTCCCGAGTATGTTTTTTTTCTGGGAATGTATGGAAACTTAGGATGAGTACTATCACGTCTGGGCAGGCGCGACGTGCATCGCCCTCATAATAAATTCCGTTTGCGTGATTTACTGAACAGCCCTGACAGCAGTGTGTGGACAAGAACGTAGTTTAAACATTTAAATTAACCTCCGTGTTGTCTGAACTCGATTACGAAAAGATATAATCATACCGTAAGAGATCCTTTCACAAAGACAACATAAATGCGCTGATGAAAAACCTCGCGTTGATTTAAACGCAGCCTGAAAAAATATTGCCTGGAAGTGAGTTAAATGAGAAATTTATGCGATTCAGTCATGGAAAAGTGACAGTATTTCGAAGGCGCTTATCCGGTGAGATTAATGTCTCTATTGTCTTGTGCGACCAAAGGTAAAAATTTACATTACCAAAAAGCCAGGGGAACTTTGAATAGAGATGGTCTAAAGTCGGGGTCTTCGAGCCTCACAGTTATTTTTATTCTAGGACTGACGGCATGTCTATGTATAATTATTCAACTTGCTCTACAGCGATAACCGTGTTAGATCGGCAGACAATTATGGCAGTTTTCCTAAATTTGAAGTAGTCACATGGTTTCCTGCCCTAATTTGGCCTTGCCAAATCTCGTTCATATCACAATCGATCACGCCTCATGTGTTTGGAGGTAAACATCGTCCTCATACCCTGCGAACAAGTAAATAGCGGCCAAGTTTAAAACGGTTCTCTTTTCAAAGCCCCAAGTGAATGAATTAAAACAAATGTCAGGTCGGATAATTTGCCCCCTGGCCAAGAAACTTTATTCTTGGGGACCCGTCGTGTGGGTTGTACGCATCATGCTGCCTTGTCATTACGCGTGATTTTGTTTCAGCTTCTTATAACGTGCACTTTTGACTCAAAAAGTGAAAATCTATGGCACTGCCCGACATTCTTTGGTGCTAGAGACTTTTAATTTCCGTGAGACAACCTGTACGTATTTATGCGTCCGCCATGCAATGGAAGTAAAGTGACTGAATGCGGAACCATTAATTGCACATGCCAAACACAAATGGCTAAAAAATCCAGGATTACAGAGTCTCTTGGTTCATCAGCCCTCCTCAGTTGGGGGAAGGGGAGTTAGTGGGCTGCTCTGTATAAGTAAACCTCATAAGTTTTACTGAGATCAGTTAAGAAACTTCTGTTAAATATGCAAATTTCCTTTAGCTCGAGAAAACGTCCAAACGAGAAAGACTTTATTTGTTTTCTGGAAATTCTCCTCTGAATTCTCAAATACTTATCTATTTGAGCAGTAGCGATTGAATTTTTCTGAAAATGCTTATGCTTGTCAGCCGGGAAACATTAGCCTCCTCTACCTAGGGTCTATCATAGTAATTGCAGCGATTGTGTATGTGTTAGAAATGCTGATGTTGGAGATTGATGACGTTTATCCACTGCAATAATGCTGGGATTCGTCTACGCAGGCCCCTGTCCTAACTTTTCACTTGACATATTTTTAATTACGAAAAGCCAGTTTGCACTTCTGTTTTTTTTAGCAACATTGAGCGTATATTTTATGACGTATGGCATCCTACGTATCTCCTGCTAGCCCTCTTTTTGTTACGATGCCCTACTTGTAGAAAAACCGCAATTCTGAAACCGACATTTCGGATATTCTCATGTTAGTTATGCAGATTTATGCCTCACCGTTTGCTGTCTCACCATTCTTTTATTGGTATCTTGGCCATGATTAATGAGAGACGTTTTGCTGAAACATTCTGAGTGATAATTTCAAAATTAGGCATATTTCTTCCCCTTTCTTCCTTTCATCCAGGGAGTATTTATACGATTAAATTGAGTTCTCAAAACATCCGATGGTGCGCATCCAGACGGTGAAATCTGCACCAACATTTAACATGAGAGAAGGACAATGATCGTCCCGGTAGATCCTGGTGTCTAGTTTACTGCTTTGTATCTAAACAGACAACAGTAGATGATGGCTGGTGGGGCATTTCAATGCCAAGTTTCTGACAGTGAGAGCTCCCTAATAAGTAATTGCAAGGGAAAATAACCAATCGCGAGCCCTGAATGCGAGACATTCAGACTAATAATTGGACACAATATAATATTACACGAAACTCACTTCGAGATCCAACTGTTCCAATCGTTTTGCAGACTCAGCAACTACACCAACGTTCCATGGTATCTGCATGGAGAGAAGTCTCTCCATCTCAATAACCGCCGCCTTCCTCTAAAATAGAAAGTATAGCAATTGTTTTATCTTTCAGTCGCAATCAGGCAAAAACCAGTTCAGCCTGAAGATTACTCATTACGTGAAGTGCAACAGCCTTGGGCAAATTGGACGTGATGCCTACTGGCCCGTGAATGGAGCCATCAAAATGATTGCTTAACTTGCCAGAAATCGGAAAGAATTTATCAACTGATTTTAACTAAGGGGTAAGGTGATACCATATTAACAGCACGGGTACTAGCCAAAAACCCATATACGAGTGTTTCGTCGATGTTTTGCTGCTGCATGACGCAGCTGCGAGGGATTCGGCTCGTCAGTGAATCCCCCAGCATTCCCGTGTGTTTTCTGGTAGAAACTCTAATTTAGAATTTGTCGCTTTTTAATTTCCTGAGAAATTATATACGAAGCTTGAGTAGTTTAGTTTATTGAAGGTCTACAGGCTCAGATCGAGACTTTTATACATGAATATTTGGGCCAAAGTCCATCAGCTACAGCGGGTAACCGGGTAATAATCATTAACTGCCGACAGACGGCTAGTAGTATACCTTAGGGTAAAGTGATATCAAACTAACAGCTGGGGGACCCACTGACGAGCCGAAACCCTCACAGCTGCGTCATGCAGCGGCAAAACATCGGCGAAACACGCGTGTATGGGTTTTTGGCTAGTACCTGTGCTGTTCGTATGATATAACCTTGCCCTAATGTATATTACTAGCTGCCTGTCGGCAGTTAATGAATATTACGCGGTTGCCCGCTGTGACTGACGGACTTTGGGCCAAATATGCCTTTATAAAATTCTGGGTATGAGATTATAGATCTTGAATAAACTTAACTACTCCAACTTCGTAGATAATTTCTCAGGAAATTAAAAAGCCACAATTTAACTTAGGGGCTTCATCGCATCATCCTGTTAACTGCTTCCTAAAACTCACCTGTTTGCTTCTATCGGCAATCTTTCTGGGCGCGATGCGCTCCGATCGGATCGACGATGGGAAACATTTGATCTTCGGGAGTCGTCTACGTATTCGTGGATTCGAGTTCTGCACATGTGTCTCGACAATAATGTGTTACTGAAGTGTGTTTCATACAAACCGTCGGTTAACACAGGGCTGACGAGACGCGCAGTATTGAAGTACGGCAAACGAATGACCCGAGTGGTCTTTCAAGGCTATCACTCAAGGCTTCACAAATACCGTCAGAGGATTGATCAAGATAAGGAAAGGTGCTGCGAGTTCATGGGACAATAAAGGTGAAAAACTGCTGATCAAACCCGCAAACAGACAACGACACGCGAAGCAGCATTAGAGAACACATTTGGTAAGCTGCCTGCTCCAAAGTCATCTAAGAACGGCGAACTGGTGCATAACCTATCAACAAAGGGGCTGAAGGAGGAACAAATGTGGATTTTAATGCATGAGGCCTTTTAAGACAGCCGATGCCAAACCTGCAAACAGAACTGCAGCAGTGCAGTCAATCCTCAGCAAGATGGAGGCGACAGACGAAACGAAGAACCTTTTTCGACACCAAATGTCATCCTTCATTGGGGGTCATAAGCCTCGCAACGTACTTTCCAAGGTCGAACGTGACGCACTTAAAGAACTCAGGATCAACAACGACCTCGTTACCGTTTCTGCGGACAATGGGAGTTCGAAGGCCGTATTGGACAGAACAGACAACATTCAAAAAGCCAAAAGTTTGTTGGGGGACCGTCAGTCCTATGCCCCATGCGAATCCAACCCCATAAAGACGCTGACACATGAGATCGACGCGATGCTGTTAGCAAAGTAGAAGTCAGGTACAATATCAAAGATCGACCGACGCGTGGCGAAAGTGCACGAAACGACCCTGATCCGATTCCACGGTCTCCCAAAAGTGCATAAAGGAAGCACCTCTTTCCGACCAATTGCATCATTAAAAGGTACTCCGACATATTGACTGGCATGGTGGCTGTTTCGACGTCTCAAGTTTCTGAACTCCGATTCGAACGTCTTAGTCAACTCGTCATCACAATTTCTGGAAAAACTTAAAGCAGTAAGTCTCCTGCCAAGTGACGTCAGGGTGTTCTTTGATGTTACGTCCCTTTTTACTTCTATCCCGCATGACATGGCAGTCGAGCCACTCGAACTACTCCTACGAGAGAAATACGACGCAGCGGATAATCGACGCCGAACCCCCAAATCCTCCAACTCCTGAAGTTCTGCAGCAAGACATACTTGAAGTCCGACGGAAAATCTACGAGCAGGCGAAGGGCACGCCAATGGGTTCGCCGATTTCAGGATTCATAGCCGAGGCGGTCTTACAACGGTTGGAGTAGCTGGCTTTCCGACACCACAAACCAAAATTTTGAGCTCGATATTTAGATGATACCTTCATCACCGTTGAAGGAGATCAAGTGTCAATGCCCAAAGAACTTCTCAACTGCGTCTTCCTGGACATATAATTTACAAATGAGGAGGAAGAGAACAACCAGCCGACCATGTTACCGCAAAGATTGTGGTGGCCTAAAAACAAAGGCCTTTGAAAAAGCGACAAACACGACGCATTAATTGCATTTCAACAGAAATCACCCGATAGGTCGCAAATGAATTTGCGTCGAGACGCACTGCAGTGAAACGGAAACAAGGTTGCTGAATTACAACATCTTCGATGGGTACGGAGAGCCAATAGCTGCCCGCGCAACTTTGTAAACCATTGCGTACTCAAACTAAACCAGAGGGCAAATCCAACCGGCCCCAAATTTTGACGGGCTCTTCCGTACCTGAGAAACATTTCGGAAACCGTTAGTCGCCTTCTCACTTCACTTGGAGTTGGGGTTGCGCACAGGCCGGAAGCAACCATCAGGCGCCAAATGATGAGGCAGAAAGATCCGCTGTCATGACAGGGAACGTCTGGAGTCGTTTTACCAGATCTGGTGCAGCTGCGGACAGAGCGACTACATCGGGGAGACTGGACGATTATCCCCGACGTGGATGGCTGGACACGCAGGGGCGGTGAGGAGAAATTACTCCAGCTCTCATTGGCGTCTTATTCGACGGAACCTGGCCATATTTTCCAGTTTCAAGAGGTTATAACTGCTTGAGCGACGGTCTGCTCTAATCAAGGTTTTTAGGTCCGCAGTCCATCAACAAGCGCAATGACCTCCCGGTACCATATTCGGCGCTGAGACATCCCCTGAACAGGGGAATCAGTCACGTGGGGAAATCGCGGACGAATAATAATGCCAGTCACATCCGGGAAATTTGCCGAGTAATTATCACGCCAACGTCTCACACAAATGATGAAATTACGCCAATCAACGACTCGGATGCGGACTGACACGTCCTCATCGCCTCATTTACGATCCTCAGCGGTGGGTACGAGAACATGTGGCGCCATGCCAGCTACGTACTATAAATACTGCAGTCTTTATAGTCTTTATGTGAAATCGTCACTGATGATGGGTTGGAGTGAGAATCCGAAACGTCAGGCCAATAAATTTCTTGTCTCAGCGATGGCATCTTCCTCTGTACTGATTCCTGCAACTTGCCTGTTCGCTTCTATCGATTTCATCAATCGAAGATGAGCCAAGCGACACATTAGCTGATATACCGCACGCTTTCTATGGCTCACGACAAAACGCGCTTGTTTTGAACCATTTATTTTACTCTGTGCTTCTGCTTTCACAGAAATTATGTAAAGGTATAATCAAAACCCGTTAACTGCAAAAATGATTGGAGCAAATTGCATTTTCATACATATATAGGAAGACACTCTCAAACACATTTGCTGGCTCTACATGGCGTACTCTATTCTTCCTTCCAAAACATAGGCTGCTGACGTCCCAACAGTTTGGTCTTTGTCACAGACGATGTCTGCCGTGTGCTTCTCGGCTAGCTAAGAGCCGGCACGGCGACCTGTGCGTGGGTTGAGTTAAAGTGGTGGAAGACTTGCACAGAGTTTACCGCACTCTCTCCTCCTGTCAACCGCATAAACACTGTGTCAGAGACATGAAAACCGGAGGCGGTGGATGGCTGAGGTGGCTGGCACGACCGGATCCATACCACACCCCCTGGTCCGCGGCAAGCACTTGGGCATTTTAATCCAAAACTCACTTTAAACAGGTCGCTTTTTGTTTTCTTATTCTTCATGGGCAGACGATGAGATAAAAACTTTCATAACGGTCTGCGGAATCAATTCTGCTCCTTGGATTTAGTTAGTGTTGCATGGTACGCAAACGACTGCTCGCAGTCCCAGGAAGAAATTAATCTAGCACAACTCAGCTATGCAGTTGGTGTTGTAAAGAATGTTTGAAACATTTTAGCCGAGAATGTCATCTGTTGACATCGCTTGCTGACTGGACACTGTTGACGATTATACTTGCAGGTAAAGCAGGACAGCGAAACATGAACGACGCTAACATTTTATTGCTTCTGCGGAATACTTGGAAACTTAGATGACTGCTAAGGTACTTATGCAACTTAATGGGTTTATATTCATAAATGCGCTTTTGTTTGTTGCAAAGAAACCTTCAGTTGATATGACATAAAAAAATTGTAGAAAAATTGCAGGCTGACTATCGGTCCACCGTCCGGCCACTCTACACAGTCCATCGGAACCGTTTGAAGTGACGGCTTTTAGGCCATCATGGTGGCCTTGAGCACGTCAGGGTGTTAATAATGAGGAATTATTCGCTGCCAAGCAACCTCAGTTGCTTTACCTTACCCCGTGCCATAGTTTAATTTCCGAGCCGGTCAACAAACTGGTGGTGAGATTAGAAGATGTGGCTCACAGTTCCAGAAACAGTTCGCCTACGAGTGCTGCACACGCCACCTGCCCCCCATACGCACATGCCAGGGTTTCAAGCGCAAGGGGTAGAACGTTCGGATTTTGCATGGAGTGGAGGAGTCGAATAACGACAGGA